TCAATTCACTTATATTCCTTTCTATTTTGTCCATTCTTGCTAGCATTTCGTCAAATCTTTTTTCAAGGTTCTTAGTTTTTGGCATTTGGTTAGAACATGTTCTTTAAGTTCACAGAAATTTCTTACTACCCACATTCTGAAGTCTGATTCTGTCATTTCATCACACTTGTTCTCCCTCCAACTTTGTTCCCTTGCTGGTGAGGAGTTGTGATCCCTTTTAGGAGGAGAGGTGTTCTGGTTTCGGGTGTTTTCATCCTTTTTGCACCGGTTTCTTCCCATCTTTAAGGATTTATCCACCTGTCGACTTTGTAGTTGCTGGCTTTCAGATTGGGTCTCAAATCTTTCAGATTGACGTTGTTTGTTGATGATGAGGTTATTTCTGTTTCTTGATTTTCCTTCTGACAGTCTGGCCCCCCTGCTGTAGATCTGCTGAGGTTCACTCCAGGCCCTGCTTGCCTGGGGTTCACCTGCAGCAGCTGCTGAACAGCAAGGGTTGTTACCAGTTTTCTTCTTCTGCTATCTTTGTCCCAGAAGGATACCTGCCTAGTGTCAATCTGATTTCTCTTTTATGAGGTGTCTTTTTGGATATATAGGGGTGAGGGAGCTGCTTGAGGAGACGGTCTCTTCTTTATAGGAGCTCAAATGGTGAGCTGCGAGCTCTGTTGTTGTTCATTCAGAGCTGCTGGGCAGGTACTTTTAGGTCTGCTGCAGCTGAACTCATAAACTGCTTTTTGTTCCCAGGTGCTCTGTCCCAGGGATTTAGGGCTTTATTTATGAGTTTCCGTTATGCTGCCGCCTTCTTTTTTTTTTTTTTTTTTCCTTCAGACCTGCCCAGCCCAGCAAGGAGGCAGCCTAGTCACTGTCGCCCTATAGCAGCTTTGCTGAGCTGCTGTGGGCTCCGCCCCGCTGCCGAGTGAACTTCCCTGCAGTCCTGTTTATATGGGTGTAGTTAGAACTGCTTTGGCGATGGTGGCCCGCCTCTGTTGGGGCGGAGTCTCTGCTGTGGCGGGTTGCCTTGGCAACGGCTGGCTGCCTCAGCAATGGCGGGTTGCCTTGGCAACGGCGGGCTGCCTCGGTAATGGCGGACGCCCCTCCCCCACAGAGCTGGACAGTCCCGGGTTCAGCTGCGCTTGCTGTGAAACTCTCAATCCAGAGTTTCTGGTTGCTGTTCTTTTGTGGGGGTAGGACCAGCCGAGCCTGATCGCCTGGCTCCCTGCCTCAGCTCCTTTTTTAAGTTGGTGTTCCAGTCGCCTGTTGAAGAGGCGCCGGGGTCTGTTTGTTTTCCCCTGCAGCCACTCACTGTGCTGGCTTAAACAGCGGCACTGAGGTTTGTGGCGCTTTTTTTTCTTTTTTTTGCCCTGGAATCTACTGTCCTGGTTCTCTGCTCAGTCCTCTTTTTGAACCAGCGTATGGGCGACTTCCCGTGGCTCCAATCGCCAGCCTAAAGGGCCCCCGCACCAGTGTATTTTGTACGGAGAACCGCGGCTCCGGGGCGCCGACAAAGCAGCCGCGCAGGGCAAAGCAGCCGCGCTGGCCGAAACAGCCGCGCTGGCGACCGTGGAGCTCCTCTGCCCGGGAATTTCCTAATCTGTGGGCAATAAAAACGTGGCATCCACTCACCCTCTGCGCTTTCACTGGGAGCTGCAATCCTGAGCTGTTCCTAAATGGACATCTTGGATCATCCCCCCCTCACTGGCTATTCTTAAATATATTTCAAATTTGTTTAAATAGCCCCATATATTCTATGGAATTCCTTGAAATTTTATTTCAAATTATGTTTTATTTTTTAGATGCAAAGTTATTTTTAAAGGGTTAATCATGCAGAAATGTAAGCTGTGAATCAATAATAACCATGTTGGAAATTATCCTCTCAGGGAAAGGTAAATCTACTGAGACTGTGCAAGGCAGAACTGCACTAATTCCGGTCAATTTTATTTAGATTGAATTGCCTACAACTAGAGCTGAATTAACCAGCACCCTCAATTGCTTTTCTTTTCTTTTTTTTTTTCTTTTAGTAGTGACCTAGGTGATTTGACTTAAATTCACCTGGGGTTTTAAGAATCAAAATCCTCCCCCATAAAAACTGCATGGTGTTTATGACCACCACAGGGATGGTTTAAAACACAATGAAAAAAGTGGGCTTATGAAAAATAAAGCTGGCTAATTAGAGTAAATAGGCTTAATTTAAAAACCACGGGTGCCTCTTTTATAAGGTTTGGTTGTGCTCCTGCCCATAGCATGTTTATATATTATGGGATGGAACTGAAATCTTTGCTGTGGCCAGCTTTAAATGGAAAACATTTGGTTCAACTCTATTTACAGTTTAGATCATAAATGATGTCACAGAAAATATAAAACCTACAAAAGCATGTTTCTGCCTTGAGGAATATTGCATCTAATTCATTATTTATGAAATTCAAGTAAAATAATATCTATTAATGCCCTGTCAAAGAGCTCATTTGCTATATATTTTGTCTTAAGTAGAATTACGAATGGGTTTACTCAATAGTTTATATTATTTTACTTTTAGAAATCTGTGATATGAGAAGCATTAAAATATATTTAGTGAAAATAATTTTTGCTAAAATAATGTTGGTTATAGTGGATTTCCATAAACTTATAAATGTGTATGATTTTATATTCTAGGGCCTAAAACTCTCAAGTATATATGTAAATTTTCACTCTTACATTTGCAAATTCACATCATTTAGTTTGGTTATTTTAGTAATGTTCATCTCTTGCAAGTGTAACATATCCTATACAGCAGCCCTAGTAATCTCCATGAATGAGAATATCTGTTTTTTCTTTGGTCTAACTGTTAACACATGTATTTTTCTGATACGTTTCTCATGGATGTCATTGGCTTTCAAATCTCCCTACTCTAGGCACTGAGAGTTTATGTAGTTCCTTGGGGTTCTTGTGTTTCTAAATAAAGCAAGTATCTAATCTTTTTCTTGTCTTTGAGTAGTTAGAAGTCGCACTGTAATCAGAGATTTAGAACAGAACTCCTTAATGAGAATTGGGGGAAAGACAATGAACCCCAAAGATTACCATCTTGAAATTAACTCAAGGCAATAAAGAGAACACAATTCATACAAATACAGTTTTTTTAATTACATTTTTAAGTTCTGGGGTTCATGTGCAGCTCCTGCAGTATTGTTACATAGATACATATGCCATGGTGGATTGCTGAATCCATCCCCCTGTCATCTACATTAAATATTTCTCCTAATGTTATCCCTCCCCGATATCCCCAACCCTTGCTATTCCTCCCTTTGTCCTCCCACCCCCCAACAGGCCCCGGTGTGTGATGTTCCCCTCCCTGTGTCTATGTGTTCTCATTGTTCAACACCCACTTATGAGTGAGAACATCCAGTGTTTGGTTTTCTGTTTTTGTGTCAGTTTGCTGAGAATGATGGTTTCCAGCTTCATCCATGTCCTTGCAAAGAACATGGACTCATCCTTTTTTATGGCTGCATAGTATTCCATGGTGTATATGTGCCACATTTTTTTATCCAGTATATTTTTGATGGGCAATTGGGTTGGCTCCAAGCCTTTGCTATTGTAAATAGTGCCACAATGAACATACGTGTGCATGTGTCTTTATAATAGAATGATTTATAATCCTTTGGGTATATACCCAGTAGTGGGATTGCTGGGTGAAATGGTAATTCTATTTCTGGATCCTTGAGGAATCAACATACTGTCTCCCACAATATATGAACTAATTTACACTCCCACCAACAGTGTGAAAGCATTCCTATTTTTCCACATCCTCTCCAGTATTTGTTGCCTCTTTATTTGTTAATGATTGCCATTGTAAGTGGCATGAGATGGTATCTGAGTGTGGTTTTGATTTGCATTTCTCTAATGACCAAAGATGATGAGCTTTTTTTCATATGTTTTTTGGCTGCATAAATGTCTTCTTTTGGCAAATGTCTGTTCATATCCTTCACCCATTTTTGATGTTTTTTAAAATGTAAATATGTTTAAGTTTTTTTTGTAGCTTCTGGATATCAGCCCTTTGTCAGATGGGTAGACTGCATTTTTTTTTTCCCATTCTGTTGGTTGCTGGTTCACTCTATTGATAGTTTCTTCTGCTGTGCAGAAGCTCTTAAGTTGAATTAGATCTTATTGTCTATTTTGGCTTTTGTTGCCATTGCTGTTGCTGTTTAAGTCATGATGTCATTGTCTATGCTTATGTCCTGAATGGTATTGCCTAGGTTTTCTTCTAGGTTTTATGGTGTTAGGTCTTATGTTTAAATCTTTAATCCATCTAGAGTTAATTTTTGTATAAGGCATAAGGAAGGGGTCCAGTTTCAGCTTTCTGTATATGGCTAGCCAGTTTTCCCAACACCATTTATTAAACAGTGAATCCTTTCCCCATTGATTGTTTCTTTTTTTTCATGTTTGTCAAAGATCAGATGGTTGTAGATGTGTGACGTTACTTCCAAGGCCTATATTCTGTTGCATTGGCCTATATCTCTGTTTTGGTACCAGTACCATGCTGTTTTGATTACTGTCGTCTTGTAGTACAGTTTGAAGTCAGGTAGCATGATGCCTCCAGCTTTGTTATTTTTTCCTAGGATTGTCTTTTCTATGCAGGCTCTTTTTGGTTCCATATGAAGTTTAAGGTGTTTTTTTCCAGTTCTGTGAAGAAGGTCAACTGTAGCTTGGTGGGGATAGCATTGAATCTACAAATTACTTTGGGCAGTATGGCCATTTTCACAATATTGATTCTTCTTACCCATCAGCATGGAATGTCCTCTCTTATTTCCTTGAGTAGTGGTTTGTAGTTCTCCTTGATGAGGTCCTTCACATCCTTTGTTAGTTCTATTCCTAGGTATTTTATTCTCTTTGTAGCAATTGTCAGTGGGAATTCACTCATGATTTGGCTCTCTGTTTGTCTATTATCACTGTATATGAATGCTTATGATTTTTGCACATTGATTTTGTATCCCGAGACTTTGCTGAATTTGCTTATAAGCTTAAGGAGATTTAAAAATATGGAATGTTTCACGAATTTGCATGCCATTTTTGCGCAGGGACTATGCGAATCTTATCTGTATTGTTCCTATTTTAGTGTATGTGCTGCTGAAGCAAACACACAAATGCAGTTTATAATTGCTTTTCAAAACAAACATAGAAACACTTCACCTAAAATTCACTGAATAGTATCATTTTAGATACTTTACTGAATCTATAAAAAGTTTCATAGATTTTAAATAAGCTATGAAATCTCACAAACTAGACGTAGAGTTTTTAGTGAAATAGATACAGGGTATTTATCTATTCACTTTTTATAAGAGAATAATCTCTGCAAGCTATTTTGGTTTAGTTATAATTTTATGGTTATATTTTGAAAGCATATGTATGTCACAGAATGAAACCTGCATGTTCTTAATCTGTAAAATCAAGGTAATTCATCCTCATTGGAAGTTTGAATAATGATGTTCTCTCCAAAATTCATGTTGAAACTCCATTGTAATATTATTAAGAGGTGAGGCCTTTTGGGGAATTAAGTCATGAGGGCTCCAAAATCATGAACAGATTAGTGCTTTATAAAAAGGTTAGAGGAAACTAGCCTGAGTCCTTTTTGCCCTCCTGCCATGTGAGGACACAAAGTTCACCTTCTCTGCCATGTTGAGGACAAGGCAAAAAGACCTTCTTCAGGCACCGAATGCTGGCAGCTTGAACTTGGACTTTTCGGACTTCAGATCTGTCAGAGATAAGTTTCTGTTCTTTATAAATTACCTAGTTTTGAGTATTTTTAAATAGCAGCACAAATGAACTAGACATAGGGTTCCTAGTGAAATTACAGGCACTAAATAAATGGTACAATTATGTGGTTGTTGTTACATTAATATATTCATCTCTGACATTTATCTGAAAGATTTCTGTTTCAACAGTTACTAATTACATTTGATGGGGGATACATTTTCATACACAGGTGAAATATTTACATATATCAATAGCAACTAGTATGATCCTATTTTACTGATATTTTAAGAAAATTTCCACATAACTTTGTTTACATCTAAATACATTTCCATTCTCACCATTATACATTTTGAAATGAACAATACTATTAAACAAAGATTAATAAAAAATTTTTCATCATCTTATATGACTCAATATGTTAATAACAACCTATAGAGTTTATTTAGCACCTACTACACTACAAATAGTGTGTTATGTTGTGCATATTAAATGTACTTCTAGCCCTCACAATACGCATATTTTGATCATTTGGATATGATGTGAGGAGAGTTAAAAAGGCTATGTGATTTGCCTAAAGTGGCTGAAACATGAACTGTTACAGGTTTATCTGACTTACTTTCCCAAATTTTCTAGAAACACAGTCATGTTTTACTGAGGTAGACTCAACCAATTGATGGTAAGCCTGAAGCTAGGTTTTCTAGATTTGCAAAATTTATTTAAATAGGAATAACTTAATAGTGTTTAATCTGTTCTGTACTAATAAGAATGTACAATTGTCTCATTTTTCCTTTCTTTTTTGGATATTACTGACAACACTAAAGATTAAATGCTTTGCTCAGTAACAACAAATTTTTAGCCGTCTATATAAGATATGCTGATATTACTTTATTTTCCTTTAAGAGTAAGTTCATGAAATATTGAACTTCCTAAATACTAACTAAAGTATAACAAATACTTCAATATACATAATTGAAATGAAATTTGGTATTGAATTGACTGTTGCACTATAAAACTTTAGAAATTAAAGGGTCACCATAAATTAGCCCACTTAATATTGAGGCCCAGAGGATTTGCAAAGACCTACAACTGGAACACAGGTCATTGTCAACTAAACGATATTCATGTAGAATATTATTTGAGGTAAATGTCTTAATGCATTAAATTTAGGCTGAATGTAAGGTTTATTTGTTCATACAGTAATTATTAAGTGTCTTTGATACATCAGATGTTGTTTTAGGCACTGGGAACTTGATGGTAAATAAAATAGATAAGGTGAATTATATAAATAAGGTTCCTGCTTTCATGGGGCTTATGGCCTAGTGGAAGATAAAACAATTCACAAACTAGGGAACAAATAAGTAAAAATATTTTATATTTTGATAAATGCAATGATGAGTACAGCCTGGAGACTCAGAAATATATGTGTGTGTTTGCACATGTGTGTGCCCATGTGCTTGCATGTATGAAGGCATATGTGGAATACTTTAGGGAAGAAACTCTGAGACCATGACATGTATGCTGATACATTTGCGATTCAAACTACAATTAGAAGCCCACTATGGGAAAATCTGGCAGGGTGTTTCAGAAAATAAAAAGGTCCCGATATAAAACGAAAAACAAAACAACAGCAATGAAAAACACCTTGGAAATTTGAGGAAATAGAATTTAAAATAGTTAATAGGGATTAAACATTTGTATATATAAGTGGCCTAAGTGTAGTGGTAAATGATGTGATATGCTTTATATGTTTCCAAGATCAGTTGGACTCTGACAAAAAGAAAGGGGAAAAATATCTTTTTATTAAGGAATTGATGTTTATGACTCATTCAATCATTTATTCAACACCGAGTTCCTACTTTGTGCCAAGCACTCTTCTAGGCACTGAGGTAATAGCAGTGAATACAACAAAGTCCTGAATCTCACAGCCCTTACAGCAAAGTTAGGGTAGGCACACACAAGTAAACAAACACAAAAATTAGATGGTGGTAAGCACTTCAGTCCAAGCATAAACCATGGTAATCGAATAGGAAGTGAAGTCGTATTCGGTGTGTCTTGCTAATTGATACAAGTGGCTGAAGAAGAGTTCTCTAATTAATTTACATGTGAGTACATACTACAAGACAGTAAGGGGATTTCTAATGTGGACATTTATGAGAAGAACATTTCAGGCAGAAAGCCGCGTCAAGGGCAAATTGAGTGAGATGGGGGAATTTTTGCATGCTTTAACCTATATTATGCCAAGAAATGCAAAAGAAAGTTTAGAATTTTGGCCTTTTATTTCTGACATATCTGTTAATTTTTGAAAAAATATATTGCAAAATCTTTAGTCACTATATATTACAAAGTCTAGCAGACTTTGAGAAAGACACTACCATTTAGAAAGCAGAAGAAAGAGAAGCCTGTAGTAGTGGTTCTCAGATCCTACTGAATGAGTATTATATTACCCCTCGGCCTTGGAGATAGAAAATATTTCTCACTTAGGGCCACAGTTTTGGATCAGGTGCAGCCCTCTATTGTTGTCAATGGCCCTTGATTCTACCTTCCAGGAATTCCTTCCTCTTCTATTATTCTTGTTGGTTTCATCTGAAGAGGATACCAAAGAATATACTCTCTTTAAAGGCCAAATGATGCTCTGCTCATAAATATTTGGGGCCTCAAAATTCTCTTTCAGGGACTGATTATTTGTCTATAATAATTCAGTTTTACCATACTGGGTGATAAGTAACACTGCGGTTTTATTATTAATGTATCAATTGATGATGCATTTGATATGTCTGTTTTTCTTATAAACAAAAATACTGTTTTCTCCATGAACGTTTGAGATTAGCCAAAGTTACTAGGCATAGTGGATGCAAAGAATAGGACATACTTTATGTCCCAAAGATATTTTTCAAAGGAGAGTCATAAGAATATCTGTACTTATAGCAGCAGTGACTAATAAATACTGTAAAAGTGGTCATGTTCAGTGTGCTCTGGGAGAAGGGAGGAGAACCAGTCTAACACTATAGATTAGAGTTACGTTCCCACATTTGGTGATTGTTTTTCTAAGCCCAAAGCATAAAAAGTGATTAGTCAAAGAAAGAGAGATATTTCAGCAGAGAATGTGTAAAAGCAGAGGCTCCTGAGGAATGGACATTCAATCAGAAAATACAGAGAATTTTTTTTTTTTTGATGGGGGGACTGGAAAATAAACTTTCTATCTGGAAGTGTATAGGAAGGGTTCTCTAGAGGGAGAGAACTAATAGGATAGATGTATATATGAAGGGGAGTTTGTTAAGGAGTATTCACTCACACAATCACAAGGTGAAGTCCCGCAATAGACCATCTACAAGCTGAGGAGCAAGGAAGCCAGTCTGAGTCCCAAAACCTCAAAGGTAGGGAAGCTGAAAGGGCAGCCTTCAGTCTGGCTGAAGACCAAGAGCCCCTGGCTAATCATTGGTGTAAATCCAAGAATCTAAAAGCTGAAGAACTTGGAGTTCAATGTTTGAACACAGGAAGCATCCAGCGCAGGAGAAAGATGAAGGCAGAAGACAGCCAGTCTGTTCTTTCCAAATTCTTCTGCCTACTTTATTCTAGCCATCCTGGCAACTGATTAGATGGCGCCCACCCAGATTGATTGTCAGTCTACCTCTTTCAGTCCGCTCAGTCAAATGTTAATCTCCTTTGGCAACACCCTCACGCAGACACACCCAGGTACAGTACTTTTTGTCCTTCAATCTGATCAAGTTGACCCTCAATATTAACCGTCATGAGTCCACACCTTTTCAACTTGAACCCATATGCATCTCCTGAAGACATCCATAATCTTCAAATAAAGACAATAATAAGGTCAGAATTACACCAAAACATATTCCAGGCATTCTTCATGCAGTAGGATGTGCACTAATCCTTAACCTAAATGCTATCACATATAATTAACAACGCTGAAATGCTGATAATATTATGTCATATAATAAAGGAAAAAGAAAAAGGTAAACTGAAAATATGTTCTTAATACAAGTGTATACACGCACAAACATATTCTTAACAAAATAAGGAGAAAATGCTCATGACAATAACAGTCCTCATTTCTGCAACTAGTCATGTGGTCATAGCTGATACTGATGACTACCTTCTTCTACTACCCATTCTGTATTATTTTTGCCTTTGGCAAGTACCACTGGTAGTTTTTTTTTTTTTTTTTTTTCACTTGGTAGAGTGACCCTGAAGGGTCTGGGCCATTTGTGGTCTCCCCTGGATTGGGTTCTTGTAGCTTCCCACTGACCTTAATCACAGAGCATGGTAATACTAAGAGACACCCTTAGGGATCTCCTGTATTCCATACATGCTCTTCCTTACCGCCATTGTGGAGTAGTAGACTGATTTATTTGTGATAGTGCTGTTCAA